ATAAGTTTACTGATCTGGATGTACCTGAAGAGCTTCTGCATCAGTAGTCATCAGATTTACAATTTTTCCTGAAGTAAACCCCTGTCGCCCAACTTGACTTAGACGAACAGATTTTCGAAACACCGCAGCAACCTATACAATGCTATAATGGTTAAAAATACGAAGGACCTGGGATAAAAACCAAATGGCGATTCTAACCAAAACAGAGCGCGCACGAAATCCTGTACGCATTACGTTTTGAAAATATTGCGCTTCACAAAGAACACCTCCAAACTATAAAGCAAGCGTTGAGAAATAAAAATTTGGGAGACAAGACATGTAAGATAACTTACAATGCCAACAAATATCAGTGCTGCATATATGTAGCCTTGCCAGACGGGAGCACCGGTTTGCATTGACTATAAATCTGAAACATTTGAGCAAGTGCAATGGATATTAGCACTTGACTGACCTCTAGAAGCAGATTCAAGAAAAAAGGTCCAACAAATTGAGAAAGATCATTTCCAACCTGAAAAGACAAGAAATGCTTAGATACATAGTATAGGATGAGAAAAGCTTACTTTAAAAATTCCACCCAGCCAGAATCTAGGGAACGTAAAAACGTTTCATCAGAGAAGAAAGACCAAATAACTTACTAAAAGTGCCAAACCTCGGTCCAAGACAGCTGTGTAAAGCTGCCAAAAGCCACGGATTCGCCTTTTTGCACTCGTCATCCCAGAATTTCCTAAAAGTGCAAGTACAAGGCAAGATCGTCTGCAAAGCTCCCCAGCAAATGTCTTACTTTCGATAGAGATTCTCCGTCCTATCCCACTCATCAAGCTGCCAAATATCCTTTTCAGTAAGCGGTCTCTTGTAGCCTGTCTCCATTAGTGGAGTCATCCATGAGAAGACAATTCCTGTATGACAGGTACGATCAGCTCACTCACGTTTCCATTTTAAACCTTGACATACCCGAGAAAATGGAAGCATGGCACTCCGGGCAAACTTTCTCGGACGGCATCTGATCTTCATACTCAACTGTGATGTCCTCCGGGATGGGACGATAATCTCCTTCTTCGGTGATCTCCGGAGAATAAATCCACGCGACAACAGTGAACACAGCCTGAGAAAATCCATCATCAGCAACAAGTGAACGAGAGTTTAACAATCAGCTTACTTGCGCTGCGAAGTAACCGCAAGAAACCCCGAACGCATACCTTCAGTAACCATTGCCACGGTCATATCAAACTTAAGAAACACATCGGACCAACTTACTTGTCCAGGTAATCCTTGAGCTCAAGAACGAAACGAAACTTCGTGATCTGGGCCACCAGAACGTAAAGCAAAGCAAAACGGTAGTGCCATTTGTATTCCGTCACGTAAATCCTCGTCTCCAGGCACAGCATTATCAGGACAGCAATCCAAGTAGCCGAGGAAACGATCATAGCAACAATCTGACATAACCACAGTCATCACCGAGAACATAATAAAAAATGCCATACCTCGTAAGGTGGAGGGGACTTGTTTCCTTCGGGATTGTCACTAGAAATCCCCAGGCCGAGCTGCGCAAGCGGCTGGAGGGCGGAATAAGCAGCTAGAGCGATGAGAAGAACATGGCCACGCCGCCGCTTGACGCTGTGCCGCACAACGGGGCCGTCCGAGGAGCCCCTGATGAGCCGGATCCTCTTGACGGCGAAGGAGAGCAGCACCAGCATGGAGATGTTGATGACGAGCGTGTCGGTGACGCAGGGAGTGAATGCGCCGAATCCATTCTCGATCTTCGTCTCCCACACGCCGCCAGGCACCGTGCGGCAAAATTTCCCAGCGATCCCCATGGGGCAGCAATCCCGTCGCGCAAAACCCCCGAGTACTCTGTAGCAAAGCCGCTGCTGGCAGTGGAACAGCCGTGGATTACCTAGAGGGCACGCCCATAGCTGGGAGGATCGCCCCAGGCGGCCGCGCAGCCCTACAATACTTCTCGCGAGTGGAGGAAAATTATGCTATGACCTATCGAGATTCTAAGATGCTCCTTTGCTGTTCCTCCTAAAGGTGGACACGGGCAGAAGAGAGAACTTCGTGGAGTCTTTCCCAGAAGCCATGCACGACGCTTCCAGGAACGAGCAAAAAACTTATAAAGCTGAGATTCTGAGATATTCCCCATGCTTGCGCTAACCTTCCAAAAGTTTATTCGTATGAAATGGGAGCTTACGCTTCCACTGCTATTTCCCTGGAGTCCTCGTCAATCGCAATCTGCTTGACCAGTGTCGATTTTTGGAACGTCAGCTGCTGGAGGAGGAAGTCTCGCATGACCATGGTCGATCTCTCGTCTGGAAAAATAAATCACCGCTTTGAAAGAGCAAATGAGCAGGAAGTATTACCGAGTCTTGGAACCGTGTGGCCTTTGGGATGTCTGATGACGAGTGGTGATTCGTAGGCTTTGAGCAACTCCTCGCCTGGTGTTCTAAGCCAGTCCTTGTCACCTGAGAGAGTAGAGAATTCGGGAAGAGTTAAAGAAAACTAGCTGTCAGCTCGAACCTAAGACGTGAACGGAGGGACGCCGGATGCCATCGGAGTAGACAAACGCGAATTTCGATGCAATGAGCTTTGCACCCGACACCGATATCACGAATTTCACGGGAGGAATTCCAGTCAGCGCTTTACCCTTTTTGTGCGAGAAAGAGAAAGAGCCGTGTTAGCAAAGAAAAACACAACACGACCTCTGTGTTGCTTCTACCTTTTCTTGCATCCCGACAAGTGCGGAAGACAAGATTGAGCCCTGGATTTGCCAAGAGTCAGCCACGCTTCCCTACCGCAACGGGAAATCTTACCTGAGAAAAACCGAGAAGTCCATCGAAAGGACCATTGTTTTCCATGAAGTTTGCGATGAACTGGACTGTCTCGTCGAATCCCGTGTACTCGGTGAAATCCTGCAGCGGGAGGAGATCAAGAAAAAAAAAGAAAAAACGAAGGACTGCAGCTTACATGATTGTACTGAAACCACTCATAGTACGGCGGTGGGAAAAATCCCTCCACATCCGACTTCCCCTTCGCTGGATACGGAGCATCCAGAAAAGTCTGCAAAACCAATGGGATTTTCGAAGCTAGAAACCAAAGGGGGAATTTTTCTGCTTGCTTACCAGATCCAAGAGCTCGTGAATTGAGCTGCTCCATTTGCTGAGCTGCTTCTCAAGGATGCTTCCGCTCGTCCTGAACCCGTGCAAGCACAAGACCCTCAATTTAGTCCTCTCTCCCAAATTCCTCTCGCCCGTCATGACTAGCCCCTCCTAGTCAAGTGGCAATGCTCCCACAACTCAGGAAAAAAAAAAATTTCATAAAGCGATGGGACTAGATTCTCGATCGCAGCAGCAGCTACCGCGGCTACAGAATCACGCGGCGGAGAAGAAAACAACGAGGAACACACCACGCGACAAAGAAAAAGCCAAAAAAAAAAGGCGAAAAAGCAAGTGATACGTGTGATCTGGACGAAAGAGAAAGCTACAAACTGTGACACAAAGTGTGATCAACAGCGCGTCAAATAACCTAGATCCTCACCTGATGGATCGCGTCCACGCGCGGATGACCGGTAGCTGGGACGCCGCCCAGCGCGCCCATAAACCCTAAACACCCCGGCATCCGCCGCGAATATCCCGAAATTTGAATTCCGCCAGGTGGTACGCCACGTCAGCAATCCGGAACGCAAGCGCCGCGCCTTCTGTTACCCTACCAAGAAGAAAGTCCCAGGCGGGCGCGCGCGCGGCGGCGATGGAGGAGCAACAGGGCTTTGACAGGGGCAAGAAGAGGTGTCCTTGCGGCGGCGCGGGCGGCGGCGGCGGTGGCGGTGGCGGCGGCGCCGCGAATGAATCCATCACCTGGTGAGTCCCCGGCGGCGGCGGCGGCGATTTTGTCACCAAGATCGCCAAGAAGAAGTAGTTCTAGCCCTAGGAGTGGAGGTCGCAGCAGCAGCAGCATCAGCAAGGATCCTTCTTTATGGCCCAAAGACGAGGGCTCCCACCCCGGAGACGCCCTCTGGATGTCATCGTCGTCATCTTTCTCCTCGTCAACATCCCCATCGTCTTGTTCCTCGAGGCGCAGGCGGTGCTACCGTCGTGGCTCTTCCCAAAGTTCCTCCAGGGCCTCGTCAAGTGGCACGTCCGCGCCAATGGCGATTTTTTCATGAGGGACATGCCATCCTACTTCAAGGGCATTGTCTTGGCAGACCTCTTCTTCCGGCTGCCATTGCTCTTCCTCAACGCTAAGGCCTTCTACTATGGTCAGTTCTATGCTTCACAGTTCTTTCTTTCTTTCTTCGTTGCTCCAGGCAAAAGAGACGACTAAAGTTTGCATTTGCTTCTTGTTCTTGGTGCTCGTTCTGGCCTTCGTCTCTCACAGGAAAGGACTGGGGACGATTGACAGGGATTTTGTATGGAGTTCACTCCACAACGAGTCTGGTACGTCCCACTTTTCCATTCTCTCCAAAACGTTTTAGAGGGATCTAAAGTCGTCCTAGCAAACAGGTTCCATTGCTCTCGGAGATCTATCTCACGCACTCGGCCAAGAAATCCAGGTTGCTCATGGTGTACGTGCCACACTTGGTCGTCTCGCTCTACGTTCTCCTCCGGGTGTTGCCCGTTGCTCACCCCTTTAGCACTCCATATCCTTACGCAAAGGCAGGCAGGAGAATGTAGCGCGCGCGCACAAGAGGCTCTAGGCGTTTTGTGTGTGCGTGCCAAAGCCAGCCATTGTAAAATTCCCTTGTTTGGTTCACAGCTCCTACTTCTCAACTCCTCTCTACTCGATGATCTTGGCTCCACGAACGTTGGAGCTGCCTAAACACCGCCACAAAGCTCCTGGATCAAAAACCGAGTTTTTTCTACGCAGAAAGTTAAGCTCTTTTGGTTCCGGCTTTGTAAATCGGAGCTAGATCACACACTGCCTTCAGCTCTTATAAACAAAATCCACAACTTTGGAAAGGAGAACTTTCAGTTGTTCTTGAGCTCTTTTGAACAAAACTTTCTTTCAAGAAAGGAGAACTTTCAGAGGCTGTTTATTTTGGGCATGGGATGACACGAACAAAGTTATTACTATAAGTCCATAGCCATATATATATATATATATATACCTCCGACGAACCTCTAGCGACGAAAGAGAAAGAAGCTTGCTACCAAACCCGATTCCTCCATCTTCTTGTTTCTCTAAGCTTGCTTCACGGGCTCCATCTCCACAGCGCGCTGGATCTTCTCGAGAGGCAGCTCCGGAACGTAGGCAGCCAGAGGGACTTTGTTCTCCTTGAGCACCACGACGAGCGAGTTAAACTTCTCCACCCCAAAGAGCGCCACTGGAGCTGTCAGATGAACGACTTGCGGCACCACCGGGAGCTTGAGAGCCGCCGTCCAAGCGCTGTAAGACCACTCCTCGGCAACCGGCTCATACTTGTTGTATACTCGCGAGCGCTCTCGTAGACACCGCGCTTTTGGACGTCGCCCACCACGCTCCTGGCCGCCTCGGGAGCTTGGGTGACAATGTCGTAAGCTTGCTGGGATCGCTCCTTAACGAACTGGGGGAGAGAGTTCTTGAGGGCCGTGACAATCTCGTCCACCTGAGAGAAGAGATAGATGTGTCAATCGCTGGGAGAGAAAAAAGGTAAGGAGGAAAAGCTAGATGGCTGGAAAGAAAGAAGGAAAAGAGCTTACTTTGCTATCGACGAGAATGAGTAACTCCGCTGGCCTCCCTTCGATCTTGTGGAGCACGGGCGCGACCACCGTCTTGACGGTGCCCTCGACGCTGTCCACGCCGGGCTTGAGAGGCCCCGAGTTCTCCTTTGCGAACTCGTAGAGCGAGGCGATGACCACGGTCACCTTGATCAGCGCCGCCTGGAAGAATCCCAGGTACTTGAGCTTCGGCTCCTGGAAGAACGAGCAACATTTTGGAAGATTTTCGATGCCCCCCGTGAGATTTGTCTTTTTACCTGAGTGGATTCCACTGGCGCGGGCTGCTGCTCGGCCATTTTCTTCTTGCCAAGAAACCCTGGAAACACACGATCAAACACGCGCTCCGCTTGGATCGCCCGCTCCGCCACAAGATTACCTGAGGCAGCGCTGGAAGCAAGGGATCGATTGACGACAATGCCGCGATCGGGAGCTTCTCCACCCAACGAGAGCAAACAAGAACGCCGCTTTGCAGGGCCGAGAAATAATCCCAGCCGTCGCTCTCACGGACGGTCCAGAATTGCTTGGAGGTATCCAACGGCTACTTGTAGGTGCTTGATTGGTGGAGCGTAATACCGACACGTGGGAGATGCTCTTTAGGAATTAGGTCTTTAGGCTACCAAGCTTGTAGGGCAGTGAGGCATTTCGATCGATCGAGGCATTTGCGTCTTGGCGTCGCAGGGATCGAAATATCGATTGAGCGAGCGCTTGTGAGCGCTCTGCAAGGATTGATACGATAGGTGTCGATCTTTAGTCGATTGCATTTCGATCGATCGAGGTATCTTGGCGTCGCAGGGACCGGGAGGATGGAGCTAAGTCAGCGACGATTCTAGCTCTCGTTATCACTGTAATTCAGAATCGACGTCTTGTGAAGCAGCAAGGACGCTGGGAAATTTAGCTGCTCGAAGAACTTCACAAATTTTCGCTAGGCGACCACGAACAAAATGAATGGATTACTCCGCGAGCACGATCCACATACAGGGGCTCTCGAACAAAACTATGGTCGTGGCTGGATGACGTGGCTGCCACTAGGATGCCGAGTTGGCACAAGTATAAAGTTGGTATCGTGCTTGAAGCGAGCAACTTTGAGAGCTTAAGGGTAGGGCTCGGCGAGCTCCGTTCCTGTCTTGATCGTCTCGGAGGTTCGTAGATGGTGGAGATGGTGTTGTGTTCTTTCTCACTACCCATTCTTCTCGCATTTTTCTCTACTTGCAGGCTTAGGAGCGGCTGTTGCTCGGAGAGGTATGCCGATGATCTTACTCGCCGGAAGCTCCTCTCTTTCTCTTTCGGAAGGGAATCCGAGAGAGAAAGAGAGGAGCGACGTAGAATCTCCGCGATTTCTTTCGATCTGACTCACATTCTAAGCGCTTGTGTAGGCGTGGAGCGATCGATCGTCGTTGCTGTCGCACAGATTTCTTCGCCGAGGTGATCACTTTGCTCGAGAAGCTTGCGGCTTTCGTTGATAGAATGACATTCAAAGCTTGTCTTCTTTCGTTCCAGGCTTGACGCGGCGCTAGCGATTGTTGCGACTGTTGCGCAGATTTCTTCGCAGAGGTGAGCCGATGAGGGACTTTCTCATGCGGACGTTGTAGTAGCGATTGTCTCAAAGCCTGACGCTTTTCCTCCCAGGTTTGATTCTGGAGCTGGCGATTATTGGCACTGTTCCCGGATATCTTCGCAGGGGTGAGCCGATGATCTTTCCGATCGAAAGTCTTGCGACTTTCGATAGTAGCAACCTGTTTTAGATTACTTCAAGCTTTCTCTCCCGTTCTTGCACTTACTTTCTTTCCGATAGACCACCTTATCCGCGCGTGAAGTTCCTTGTTTACATTGCTAAGAGCTTGTGTGTTCCTCAGCCAGGCTGCTAGCGATAATTGTCGATTGTTTCACGTGTTCTCTGGAGAGGTGAGCCGATCTTTCTTTCTCGTGTCAGTTTTGAGATCTAGCAGTCATTCTGTGTCGTCATCTTTGCAGAGGCTTTTTCTGTTTGTTGAGTAACTGTGGGTCTCATGCAGCTGTCTAGATGTCAACGGTACGTTTGATTCTACCATCGGACGTCGAGAGGAAGAAGCTTACGAACCTCGATACGGACCAAGCTCGACACAACGGCGTAGAAATACCGGAGAAGCACAGGTGAGTGCATAAAGCCGTCATAGCGTGTTCTAAATCTAATAGTTTTGCTTGATTCTCTACAGCCTCCGTGGCTCTCGAGCTTGCTGGAAGCGCTGCAAGACTCCGATCCTGCGATTGAAAACGACGACCTCCTTGTCATCACAGGAAACGGCAGCGTAAGGATGCACCAGGCAGCGCTTATGGAGCAAATGAGGCAGTCGGTTTCGTCGGGACTGATAGGGAGCCTCTCGACCGTGAAAAGCAGGCCCTCCGAAGATGGAAAGTGGCCCACGCAGGACCGATGGTTACGGCTGAAGAGATCCGCTCCTTCTCGAGGTTTGCCTCTGCTTATGTCAACTACATTTCGTCGAACAGGAACAGGACGATGCTTGTGAAGATCTATGGCGCTTTCACGGTGAGTTCTACTCTTTGTACTGTACTTTTGTTTAGAAGGACAATGATCTTATAGGCGCAGTGCTTTCGTCTTTGCATGCAGGTAATCTCTGGAGATGCTGTGAACCACATTGTCCTCATGCAGTACTTAAAACCTCCCGGGAACGTTGTCTCTCAATACCAGCTCAAGCCGTTTGGCAGTAAGATGGAGCCTGTCTACTTAGCAGGGCTCGAGTATCTCAGGTTCGAGGAGATTGTCAAGCGAGACACGCAGTTTCTCCAGGTAACATACACGTTTCCTTTCGCTTGTTTGTGTGCTTATCTTCTCTTTGTTTCTCTGGCCCCAGGATGACTCGGTGGTCGACTACTCCTTGCTGTGCTTCAAGACGGAGAACCGAGAAGTGGTGGTGGGCGTGGTCGATTTCTTCGGCAGGAGGACACTGCGAAAGAGCTTGAAGCTACTCGTGGAGCGGCCAAGCTGGATGCGGCTAAGGCAGGCTTTGGTCACACCGTGCGTCTACCACTCGTTCATGCGCAGCAAGATCGACATGGTGTTCTACATGTTTGTCCCAGAGATTACTTTTGTTTCTGGTAGAGAGATCAGCGATCACTAAAAGCTGTGCTTACTAGAAATTGCCCAGCAAATGCTGGCCGGATGCAAAGCCCAACTCTGGAAATTTAAACACGTCAACATAAAGCTGTGGGAAGATGAAAAAGCTAGTCTAGGAATGAATGTAAGCTCAAGCAAAAGATCACCATCACACACATTTTTCCAAAGACAACAGACATACCCCGAGCATACCATCTGCATCTAGCCACGTACCTTCCTCCTCTCAAGATCAATCTCCTCCAACTGACTCTCTAAGTGCATTGCTGATGGAGGAGGCTACACGAATCCCAGCCAATATGGGGCATGGGAATCTTTTCTCCTGCGCTTCTTGCAGTCATATCCAATGTCAAAATATCCCAAAACACATCCTCTGCTTGCCTTCCAATCACAACACCAATATCTCTACATCATCTCGATCGGATGGGGCTGATTAGAGTGCTGATCTGGTTGCCATGGAAACCAAGAGATATTCAAAGCTTACGAACACAAAGTTGACTTAATCGCCTGAGAGGAGGAAGGCCTACCATTTATCGCCCAAGTCCATAAAAACAGAATTCTGCCATTAGATGAAGGGACTGTAAGTCATGCACGCCTTGCCACCTTGCTAACATGGTGGAGTATTCATTCAACTTGTCTAAACTTTTTTGGTAGGGTTGGCAAAAAGGGAGCCAGCCAAGACAGTTCACTAAAGAATATTTTGTTATAATATGTACTACAATTATTTTTTGAATATGCTAAGAATATTTTTGTGTAATAAATAAATATTAGAAAATATTTCAATATATGAGTGCATGGAATATAGAAAGGGAATACAGAAAATGTGTATATCAATTAGCCCAAAAACCCTAGCTTATATACAAGAGTGAGTGGTTTGGATTGAAACCAATTCAATAACTACCAAAATCTTATTATGCTAATATTAGTATATGGCATTGTAGCCATACATTTGGACCTCACATTATCTCCTCCTCTCGGAATAATGAAAGACTATCAGGATTCTTTTGTAGATAGGGGATCTGAAGGAACATTAAGAGGAGGCATTGGTAGATTTGTAGGTGGTGTCAGTTGTTCTTGATCCCTTTATACGAAGTGTTTCAACTATTGTACATGCACAATTTTTGGAGGATCGGCCTGTTAGATGTAATGCCAAACCTCATAAATTTGTGATCCAACTTACCACAACACCTGACATGGTCCTTTCCATTAAGCAAAGAACCCTTTAGATAAATTATATATTGTATACTCCGCAAGTGGACGATGATGGGAGTTGTAGTGCTGTTGTTGTCCCATTTGTACGTGGCTTGAGTGTTCAGCAGACTCTGCTTGGACAAGTGGAAGAATGCTCATCAAATACTGATCCCACAATTTAGCATCAACAAGTTATGGCAATCGTGAAAGTAAACTCAACTTTGTTGGTAAAATTGGATTATGATTATATAAGAGTTTATATGGTGAAGCATCAACAAAACTCTACACCCTTATAACATATGCATATTAAAAAGATGGTAAATAACAATTCTAATTCGAATGTTAAAAGTTCATGTACTTTGCAATCATTCCTTTGAATGTCTGAATGAGCCATTCCACTAAATTGTTTAACTATGGATGATAAACACTCGTGAAAGTGTGGCGTATCCCCAATCAAGACGTCAAAACATGAAATGCCTCAACTATAAATGCCAGACTATTATCCGAAAAAATCCGCTCCAGACAAAAATGTTGGAACAACACTTTATTGAGGAGGAAGTATCCAAAAACAGTTGTAGAGGTGCTACCAACTTCCATCTAATGAGTCAAATAGTTAGAAACAATAATAATATATTTATTGCCAAGAGTCGATCGTGAAAAAGGTCCCATAAGATCAAATGCTATCAATTCAAATGGATGGGAAACTACAATTGACTCTAACCGTCCACATAGGAGGGGGGGGGGATGTATTATGAGCTTGGCACCAAATGCAACTATGCAAATATTGGATAACATCACATTGCAGCTTTAGCCAATAGAAAGATTTGTGTAGCTTCTCGGTCATACAACGACGTCCATATACCCATCCAAAACAGAAGAATTATGGTAAGTATGGAGAAACCATGGAATAAAGATGGAAGGCACCACCAGTCGTAAATGATCATCAAGATCCAACCCCACAAAATAAATAAGGCCATGTTCAAGGTGATATTGAGAATATAAATGTTAGAATGGCAAGTCATTAACAAGTGATGCAAGATTTTCAAAATCATCTTAAAACCTTTGAATCCATGGCTCAATCTTTTAAGCCTTGCGAACTTCATCAAGAGAAGATAGATATTTCTTTGCACCTTGTGGACATTGAATGTTAAGTATAACAACTATCGACGGCACAGAATCCTCGTCTAAAAAATTCACAGATGCTGGAACAACAGACTTGTTAGAAACATGATAAGAAAGTGAAGAAGGAAGAAGAGCTCGAGAAAGGACATCAATATCAATTATAAAACTCCCTGGGCGATGAACAATATCAAAATCATATATTTGAAACTTTAAAGCCCATCGAGCAATACGACCAACTAAGTTCTTCCACTTTAATAAAGAAGTAATGGTAGCATAATCACCTTTTAGTAACATTCGAAAACTATGTAGATATGCATGAAGTTTCTCGAAACCCTAGACTACTGCTAAACACTCCTTTGTTGTGGAGTAGTTCACTTCCATTGGTTGTAATATACGACTTATATATGCAATGGGATGGTGCTAACTAAGCACACTCGAGGTCCTTTGCATCAACACTCCTCCAAGATTAATATCAGAAGTATCCACACACAAAATGAACGGCTGAGTGTAGTTAGGATATACCAAAACTGGAGGAGTCGTCAATAGCTTTTTGAGATTCATAAACGCCCATTCACAATCCAGAGACCAAATGAATGATGACGTTGATGACTTCAGCAATGTTCGCAATCGTGTGGTTTGATCAGAAAGATGATCCATAAAACAACCGAGATACTACACCTTGCCCAGGAAGCGCTGCACATCATTCACACACTTCGAAGTAAGAAACTTTAGAACAATCACAAGTTTATCAAAATCAACTTGTAAACCCTCACGAAAAATATAGTACTTAAGATAACTCGTGTTCTTAAACCCAAACACGCATTTTGACCGCTTCAGCTTTAAACTAACATTTCGTAGCCAATATAACACTTTACAAACATTAGGGACATGTTCCTCCCACGTCCCTTCTAAGTGGATTAAAACATTATCAATGAAGTCAGCAGTCACCTCTGGCACATAGTAAAGAACTTTGTCCATCATTCGCTAGAAAGTTGCTAAAGCATTATTTAAACCAAATGGTATCACCAAAAACTCATATAAACCAAATAGTGTATGAAAAACAGTTTTAAGAATATTTTCTTTGGTTATCAATACTTGCTAGTACCCAAAAACAAAATCTAGCTTGATGAAACAACAACTTCTCCTCAGACAATCTAAAAGATCAACAATGTGAGTAAAAGGGTACACATTTGGGATTGTCACTTCGTTTAATAAATAATAGTTAATACAAAAATGAATACTCCCATCAAGCTTTGTCATAAGATGAGGTTCACATGCCTAAGGATTCCACAACTTTCAAATAACACCCTTTTCCAACATCTCATTGACGTTTGTATGTAAAATCTTGATATCTTTAAGTAACTAATCACGAACAAGAACCTTGATTGAATGAACATCCCTAACATTCTTAGCTTGATTCGCTCCAACATATTTGGCTCCACACGAAGCAAAAGGTTTTGAAAATGAACACCAAATTACATCACCAACTTAGATGGCCTTTGATGAAGATAATGCAATTATTGGAAGGTATCATCACAATCATCGGCATATTTGAATACACATTTGAAGACGTCTGGGAGAACACTCTAATCAACCATTGTACCACTATAGCGCTATTTTTTAGAGACACGTGAGCAACTCATGTAAATGTTAGCATCATCCCAAGAATGATATATGGCAATCACTGTGAAGTGATTGAACCAATAGTACACATCATCCCTATGATTCCTATAAAAGAACCTTGGCCAAATACAAGGATTGGCACCAAAAGCAAAAGGAGCTGTACCATGTGTCATAAATGCCACCATCAACTGAGTTTAGTTGTTCAATTACAAGCATATAGCATTAAGCAATTGCACTAACTGTTGTTCTAGAGTTAAAGGAGGAAATTGCTACTCTGCTATGAAGATGAATGAAAAGGAAAGAGTAAAAGAAGAGAAATGAAAAAAATGTAGAAGGAAAGGGAGATCTAGATAATGCAAAAGTTAGATCTAAACTAAAATCCCAAATTCAAGCACTCCTCAGGGATAATTAAAGGTGCCTCTCACTTCCACCAATATGAGTGCATGGAATATGGAAAGGGAATACAAAAAATGCATATATCAATTATCCCAAAAGCCCTAGCTTATATATAGGAGTGAGTGGTCTATATTGAAACTAATTTGATAACTACCAAAATCCCACTATGCTAATATTAGTATACGGCATCGTAGTTGTACACTTGGACTTCACAATGTAATTATTACAATTATATGTTATGTTATATAATATCACATATTATTATAACTATAATAAATTAT